ATGCATGACGCATTGTCTTATATAAATTATCATTACCAAATGACGGTACAGCCTCTTGGTAGAGCTTATATGCTGGTACATGCGTATTCTTTGAAGAATGGAAACCTGAGGAGTGTGCACATGAAATAGTATAAACTGTTTTCACCTGTTGCACATTATTACTATGCCAATCGCATTTTATATTAAGATTTACCATATACCATATATTAAGATTTACCATATAAGCAAAAATGGGATGGTAGAATAGATAAACGTCACTCACTCACTTTTATATCTTTGGTTAAATATGTGACACACTGTCAACAAAACCCAAAATTTAAAAGCAATTTTTAAGACTAATTGCGAAATAATTGCCTGGAAATTATCATTGTTCAGATCTAAATTAAGGTGATGTAATGTAGATTTGTAGAGATTTTAAAAATCACTTCTGACTAACCACCATGATTGACGATGTCATTGAACTTTTCATCCACACAGTACATTTTAATAAATTGTCAAAGACATATAAGTTTATATTTTCTACAACTCTTGTGCTAAGAAAGGTCAAATCTCAAAAATGCTTAAATGAGTTTTTACATTTTTATCTTTGATTCTCCTAAATTTTTTTTTAATTTCTTATTTCCAAATTTACCATATGAAATTTCGTGTAACAATGTTTTAGACAAATAAAACTGAAGCATGAATTATAATATTGCTGCAATAATATTAAAGTTATCAATCTATTTCAATTATAAATAGTGTTGCAATAATATTAAAGTTATCAATCTATTTCACGTTTTTCTTACTCCTCCTAGGAACTAAATATAGTTTAAAAATAACTTTTTTGACACTATGCATTTGAGATGGGCATTCATGAAGATTAATTTAAAGGAGGCGCTAGTTATGCTGAAGTTGTTATCAGACATCATGAATAACACCCATCTTATATCTTCCTTTGTGGCTAAATAACCACAAAATACAAGCCAGGACGTGACATCATACAACAGGGGTCACGCTCCCGACTCTGCGAGCCGGAAGAAGAATTAGTAGGAAGCAGTTTCAGGGGCTTTTACTATAAATCCCCTTTAGTACTTTGCTCAACTAAATCATGAGTCAGTTGTGGGATTAAATTTATTATTAATCTTTGCAACATTTATAAAATTAAATATTTATGAATGAGTCAATGCCTTATTTGTTGTGAAATATGTTTTTGTTTCAGAAACACGCTTGTCTATTCTCATGCAAATTAGTTTTTGCAAGATTTCCTTCCCAAAAATTGTTTAAGTTGAAACATGAAGAAAACCAACAGTAACCAAGCTAAAAGTCCATTGAAGCAATACAGAGCAGAGCAAACACGAACCTCTAACAATATCAGAGGTGGGACCAGGGGCCATGGAGGAGTAAGCATCCCCTGTCGACCGATCACTTCCACCATGTGTTCTTGTATGATCGGGCAAACGGAAAAATCCGGAGATAACTAGTGTGAAAATAATGGTCTAAAAACAAATTGTATGAGCAATGTCAGTCAACATTCGACTTAATGATAGATTGTATTTGCTGACAAGGTCGTTATAAGGGTTCAATATTAAGCTTATCCAACGAAAAAAATCCAAAGTCTTGGCTACAATTATCATTTTTTCAATTTTTGAGCAAACCAAGTGAATCGCCACACAGAACATTCGCTATGACTGCAGATCTCAAAAAGACATGTGGACAATGGCTGTGTGCTCAAAATGCAATATTTTTTAAATATCTGATTGATATTTCTTTTCAATTTCAATTTCCTTCAAAGGCTTCAAATTTAAAGAAAACTAAAGGAGTGAATTGAAAATAATTTTTTTTTAAAAAAATTAAAAGTATCAATTTCAATCACATGTAATTTATTTTTTACAGCAATCTTTTTAACACAGATACCAGATAATGAAAAAATATTTGATTTTCTGCTTATTTTCTCTTCGAATTGTCATTCCTTTCTACGATTGATTGATTATCTTCAAAATTGTTAAAAAATATAGCTATAATGATCACCTGTTTGTGAAGTCTATATGTCGAACTAACTAATCCATCATCGTTTAATTGGATTTTTGACAGGAGAAAACGTTAAATTTGTTTAATTTGCGCTCACATATTAGATAAAACAATCATTTGTACACTATCATCGACTACTTTTTATATTATAAATCTGCTAAAGACTTCCTGATAAGGGTTTGGTAAAATTAGTGAATATAAATAGCCGCGTATTCCTCTGTTAAAAGAATTGAGGGCAATTACCAAAATATATACTACAAGAGGTGACTTGCCGTCAAATTTATAGCATTTTATTTTATAACATTGCCTACCATTGTCTTTTAAAAAAAATACAATTTAACTTAATTCTAATGAAAATAAAATATATGATTTCTTTTAAAAATACATTTTTTTCTTTTTATGATAGAGATTTATCTTGCCATATGAGTTTATTGCCTTTGTTGGACTTGGGGGTTACATACTGACAATGTGACATATTAGAGAGAAATAAAAAAAAATCTATTAGCAGTCGGAACACTTCATGATATATTTAAATGTACCTTTTGCCAGAATGATAATATAGGCTAGATAGAATGCTTCAAAAACCATAACGATTCTATAACATGTGCTAGGAATTGCTGTCTTAACGCTTTTGTCCCTAAAGAATAGACTAGTATTTTAGTTTATTTATAGGTATGATAAACAAAGGAAACGTCCGGAATTCATTATACTAAGAAGCATACACAAAGCTTAGTTCATATCGTTTTCTGGAGTTAATTTTGATGTAACAAAGATTCTTCTGCAGCAGCTCTTCCTTTTTACTCCCTCCCAAATTCAACGAAATATTAAGGCGAGTCTAGATGGTTATTTCTATTAACAAAAATACACCATTATTTAAGCAACTAAAGAATAAATGTAGTCCATTCTAGGTAATTCTGAATGTATGTTCACAAGAAAAGAACATTTCACATAAATCTTTTTATCTAATTACGATCATTCAGGAAGAGAGTGAGGGCCGCAGTGTTGAATGATGACTGCAAAACCGCCATGTCAGAGGGCTACATCTTATAACTTTGTTGATAGTAAAATATTTTAAATAAAAGAAATGGTGAGAAAATTTTTGATGATTGGATTTTTAATGAAAAAAAATGCCAGTTAAAGGTGAAATATTTGTAATTACTGTTTTTTTTTTTCTCCTAATAAATATTCAGATGACACAGAATCTTGGAAAGCATAAACAATACCAGTCAAAGACATCAAATTTGTTAACTAACATCAAGTTAACGTCCAGATAGTGGAAATATTTGAATACTTGTATCTGTCCGTAAAAAGCACTTCAAGCACAGTGAATGTCAAAATGTTGCGATATTTAACTAAAACTTTGTCAAACATTTTGACCTTTGAAGTCTCATATTGAAATTCATCAAATTACATACTAAATTATTTACAAATACATTTCATGGTTTTCGTTTGGTATAATTACAAGCCATTTACTGGTACGGGATTAGAGATGCATATTCATAGATACACCACAAAAAACCCGATTTGTGTTGTTTCATTTCTTCTATATTTAGTTGACAGCAAAGCAGAGGATGATATAGCTCTCTCGTCATCATACATAACCACATGTTGTCCCTCTAACAATTTTAATGTTTTATGAAAATGATGTATTCTTAGTTTTATCATTTTTTGTAATTAACCTTTCAATCAGAGATACATTTGCATAACAATTGTTTAATTTTACCGCCCAGATTTAGCCCTCCGTTCCCTATATGGATATGCAAATGAAAATTTCAACGTATGAGAAGGGGCTTTATTTCCTCATAGAACATATTTTTTTTGACCACGTGACCATGTGATACAGAGGTGAGATGGCAAAAAATGTCATTGTCAAATAAAATAAATAGTGCAAAAACAATTTTGATATTTGGAATAAGTTTCAGATTATTAATTATTAATAAATATAGTTTATTCAAATTATAAAGTTATGATTGCCTCGTGGAAAGTGCTGAAAAGGCACAGAGTTATCACATGGTATTGAACTTCAGTTGTTTTTAAAAGCATTGAAATGACTTACACTGAATGTAGAATTGATCTCAAATCTAATGATTTAAAAAAAAGAAGTCTTTTTTATATCTCCCATAATTTTACAATGCAAAAATTTATCGAATGATGAGGCAGGTCCTTTTTTTGTTCAAATCAATCATTGTTGTATGTTATGAAACAATTTACACAAAGCCTACATCTATTCTGGTACAATTTTTTGACATTCCTTTTGGATATTTTAGGAGAATATATTATACCATATCAATAAAATTTCTAGTAATTACATAAAAATACTGAACCATCTTAAATAGCCATATCGTTTTATTCTGTCAGAATTAACGTTTTACAACTACATATCAAATTAATGATCGCACTTTGTGACCGATTGCTATTGTGTTACTCTAGGAAATCGAACCGTCTTGCTGTGTTCTCTTAGGATTGAAAAAGATGTATTTCTCCTACAATTTACAATGTGTTTAATAATAACAAAATTTGTTAAAAGTAATACTTTTGATCAATATTAACGCTGCCATATCTCAACGGGTAGAATAAATGGTTCCAGTTACTCTCACCAGCCTCCCTGAATCTTATTTTGATGGAATTTACCATTATATCCTTTCCATTACGCATCTTTCTTGCCGGGATAGAGAACGTATATTTTAGAATTAACATTATTTTTACTATAAATGAAGTAAATATCATGCTACTAATAAGTTTCTTTGGTTTGCAAATCAAATGCCTAAGCATCTTAAGATCAAAGGTCTTGGAAGTGTTGCTGTGTCACCCCCACTACAAGACTTCCTGAAAGAGTACAATGACTTTTTGGTCGGTACCATTCCAAAAAAAACGCAATCAAGTGGAACAATAGCTTGCCAATGTGACAGGTAGAGGCTTTTATTCGTCAAGTCATCCTGGGATGACAGGCTAACGGGCGCTTACTATATAATATAGGTAACAGGTCGTCTATAGACATGTATTTTCTCTCGGTCTACCTTTCCGCGAGGACGTGCGGTAGTATCCGCTGACAGGTGTAAGCCGAGCTTTTACCATTGTACGGACCAGAAGTGAATGGTCCTACAAAGTGAACAACATTAACTTTTCAGTTTAACCCCGTAGTCGTACATTTGTAAAAGGGACTTTTCAACGAAAAGTTGTGTTTGCTTTTGGTACTTGTTTTTTTTCTTGGATTTTTTTATCATGATTATTGGAGGAAATACTATATCTAGAACTTGTCTCTAGAGGAAGTGAATGAAATTTAAATTGACTGTGTACGTGGTATGAAAGATATCATTTGGCAAATGAAATCAACAGAAGGGAATAACAATTGCCTCCCCGGCAGACGAAAACCGGGCCAGGGCTCCAGGTAAGTCAAGCAGGTGAAAAGGAATGGTTACGGAAGGAAAATATAGCTCCGGAAAGTAAAGCATATGAAAAATGGTTTTCTAGAATTTTCAGAATATATAATTATGATAATATATCAGGTGTAGAGCCAAAGCACAAATGTTATCTTGCGGTAAATGAAAAAATGCTGTTTTTTTTTTTAATTTTTAACATGTAGTTTAACATGTAATATTAATTCTATGACACAAAGCATAATGATTAAAATTACATTAACGAAAGCTTTAACTAACACGCAATAATTGATAAAACGGAGAGATTTACATTTTAATGATAAGAAAGAAAAATGGGCTGAAAAATGGAGAGTCTGAAAAAATACTTCACGTTTAAGTATGGAAATTTTCGCTATTAGATTAATAATGCTTATTGCAATTAATTGTTTGTAGCTATAAATTTAAACAAAACTTTAATCACATCGAAAGTCTTAACAAAGAACAACCAAGTTAACAATGGAATGAACTTGTTTTCTCTGAAAATAGTGATTAACAGAACAATTGTGGCCAGCTACGTCAACGGGAATATGTGTTAAAATGTTCATTTTCGTTCAAGACGTTACTCATTGACACCGAAAAACAGCCAGTTCTATTGAACTTCCTCAGGGAAATCCCTTTTTGGATGAGTCCTAGCATCGATTTGTAGAAGTATCTGCTTTCATGTACCATTGCAATAAACTTGTCGTCCCATGCTACAGTGTCGTCTGCGTTACATAAGACAAACTTGGAATAACTTTCACAACAAAAAATACATAATTATGTCAGTTCGTGTCACGTCAGGGACCGATTGTTCTAGCTTCTCGGACCGAGTAACTGTCCGTGGGTGTGTAACTAAATTAACAAATGCTCTGTAAATTCATTTAAGTGTAATTCTTACAAACCAGCCGCTTGCTGTCTTTTTTAAAATCAAATATATACGTGTAGATACAGAGTTCTTAGATTAGACCACAGAGTTCTTAGATTAGACCAACCAAAAGGTTACCGCTCTCACAAAGGATTAAAAGCATCACTTTTTCGCAAATGACCTAAAACGAAAACAAGACGTCATTTGTTGTTTCATACATGTAGTGTGAAAATCTTTTTGGTCGTTAAACTTAAAATTGCCGCAATCTACAAGTGAATATGGTGACTTTATGTCGAAATGAACATGAAATACTCTTGTAGTTTATCCAGTTCAATGTTGTTAACTTTGGTTATTTACCGCTTTGTATTTATCACCGGACACCTATCGGGAAGAGAAGTGATTGCAGGGCTTTTGGGTGGGATTTGATACATAAGAGAGGGATCACGTGACTGCATGCTGCATTGCAAGATACATTCATGGGAGTCCATTGTGCATCGCCTGCAGCCGACATACGATTAATATCAATGTCAGGGCAGAGTGTAATGAACTTTTGAATTCAAAGTTTACTTTTTACTTCTTTTTGCTTCTTTTTAACACCATTTACCTTGATGTAAAGGTCAGCTTCCGACAAGATTTGTTTAGTCTGAATATAGAAATAGATCTGTTTCTATATTAGATGGAAATAGTCCGTTTTGTGCCGCTTATCATAAATCTAGTAAAACTGTTTGCCTGAGCGGCCGATTTATCATCCGACTTGTTTATGCTTTTACACAACTATATCTTGGCTGTCAAAAGTGAACTGCACTAGAAAATTGCTGTGTTCCTTAAATAGCATCATAAGTAGTTCGAACATTGCTTTCTTCACACAACATAGCTACATATTTTCTACAAAGATGACAAAATCTGTTTCTTTTTCCTTCTCTCTTAAGCATTTTCGCACATTGTTAAAAGAAAAAAAATAACTATCATTAAAATTTTCATTAACCTGTTCACTTTTCTGTGTTTAGCTACGTAACCGTTTTAATGCGTTAATATTAAACCACTTATTGTTGTAGATTAATAATATTTGGTTTACAAGCAGAATGAACTTAAAATTGTAACGTGGTGGATTAACCACTGTACACTACTTCCATAAGAAAATTTACAGAAGGCGAAATTTTGATATAAAGAACACAACTAATAATAAACCTGTTTTGTTAACATGAACGACAGTCTAGAAATTTTTTTTTTTTTTCCATAAAAAACAAAAACATGTTACACATTTCACTAAAAAGAGTTTGCCAAGAACAGAAGAAAATAAGTTTTTTTTTACTTTAATTACCCAGAATAATTTTAAGTTTACCCGGGATTATTTATTTATTTACAGATTTAAGAAGCGTCTCTCTATTTTGCTGCACACACACGTGGCCCTGATAGGGATCTGTACTCTCAGCGTCTTAGATGCAGGATGTGTTATTGGTCAAATCATCAGCGATATTCTCATCATGAAAGGTATATTTTCGTTGCTGGTGTCTCAATTGATTTTTTTTTTACCTTTTTTTCTAGAGATAATTTATTATTTGAAGCATCAATTTTTGTCAAACAGTATTGAGAACTGAACATTAGAGTGTTAGTTATTGTTTCTGCATAGTGGAATCTATGCTAATATGTTTAACAATGATATTGCTAACCAAAGAAACAGTACAACTACTTTATTATTCATAAATGCATTAGAAGTTGGTCATAATTCCATCACAGACATCACAGATGACATGATAGGCTCTCAATTTGTCATCGCAATCGTCAGTCCATTGTGTTAAAAATCACTCGTCACGCATGATTGGTGGCGGTAAAGTTGAACCGTGACGAAAAAAGACGACCACTTACCTGTCCCGTGCCCGGCCTTGCATCGTAAAATGTGCATTAAAGAAGAATTGGTCCTCTCTCATTATGCAGCTGATCATATATCTATATAGATATTGGTGATTGGTCATAAATTATGATGACCATCCTAAACCGAATTCACGAGAATAAACGGGAATCAATTCCTCCCATATTCCTTGGCTCTGAGTGACATCTCTAGAAGTCTTATCTCTGCTTTTATGAAATTCATTTTAATCTCCTATTTTTACAGATTCTATTCTGATTGGGAAAAAACATATTCATATAGCCCAACTTTCAATTGATTCAGCTATTATAGCTTACATATCATTGCATTTTAAATTGTAGCGACCGTTAACTATTACGCATTCCTTGGTATGTATATAACAAGGGATTACTGGTTTAAATATAGTGTAGTTCAGTTTCAAAAATAAAAACAAATGCCATATTTTTTTTTATTCAATAAAAGGAATGCTCACACTAACAAGCGCACATTGCATAGTCTTTGCATTGGATAGTCGTCGGCAAATCGCATGCGCGCGCAGTCATACTTAGAAAATTCATCATATATAATTTTACAATCCATGAAGCAGATAATCTCGAGTGAAAATAATTTAGTACTTAAAATGATGCACGTGAAACATTATGAACCTTATGGAATATTTTTTTTCTTACAGACGAACTTCAAGAAAAGACCCTAATGGAATCCCATGCCAAAGAAACGCTAAAAGAACTCTTTCCTGCACGCTTTAACAAGAGTTCCTATGAAAAAGCTAGTCTTGAAGATATCATACTTATAATGAAAGAATGTTTCGACCAACTGCAACAGGACAATCCGCACATGAGTGGGGACAAGCTGGCCAAGGCTGTATCCCATCCCCATCCCCATAACGGTGACGAACACCATGTTCACGGCAAGAGGAAACGCCGCGCTGCTGGAGGAAATCATAAACATACCTTCCGTGACCATGACAAGTTCATCAGCCATCACATTCTTCATGAACTCACTCACGCCTTCCATTTAGGGAGTATGGTCATTTTGACAGTACTGCTGATAGAGGTGAGAAGATCTCTAACGAGGGAACAAGTATTCGAAAATCAAAGGGTTTTTATGTATACGTGAGCACCACGTAATTGCATGTTCACTTAAAATCTTCAACTGCATGAGAGAAAAAGTTCCTATATAAAACTTTTTTTTTTAATCTGTACTCTTAAAAATGCGTTTATGGCTGTCAAAATTTCCCTTTCCCGTATAGCTTATGTAAATGCGTACCATATGAACCAAACCTTACTATCAAAAAGAGCGTTTTATGCTTAGTCAAGGTACATGTGCTGCATAGAGAATGTCCATTTATTTACAAACAATGCTTCGTCAGCTGACCGTATTATAAATCATGTTTGCCTAAGGAGAATATTACACAACTAAATAAGGCCAGGCTGAGGTCACAACAATTTAAGTCCACCGTAGCTTGTCAACTTCAGCCCATTTGCAGCTTCGTTTTGGTCCAGTTAATTTGCAACCTTGTTTCGGTCCAATGAATTGCAGTGCAGTTGGAATGTTACCTTACACAGATATTTATCATAATGCAGATGTTACTGCATGGTTTGAATACTAAGCGAAGGGAAAACGCCATACACCCTCTTAATATCTGTCAGGGAAAATTAAATTTACATTCCGTACAATGAATATTGAAAACTGTGAAAATTTGTGTTTCAAATAATAATATCAATATATATTTTTTCCGTTTCGTTTATTATGAAAAGGTTTAACTTTTGTATTTTATTTGTATTTTTTAATTCTATTCCAAAGCTGAAGATTTAAAAAAAAAATCGTCGGAAAGACTTAAATTGTAGTTTGTATATCCGAAAAATCTTTAATTTTGAATAGTAAAAATAACTGCTTGAAACGTTTACTTTTCACGACTTTAAATAAATTACAGGTATGGAATTTTATACAAGTCTAAAGATTTGTGCGATTGTCTTTCGAACACTTGTATTTATGGGTTATCAAATTTCGTTCAAGTAATTTCATCAGAAATTGCTGGCTATGGTTTCATGGCACGGCCTATTTCAGTGACCTGCGAACGGCAAACTTCTTATAAATACACACACAAGCCGAACAATTAATTACTCCCCATATCTTGATTGATGTACCTGTGTTGCTATGTAATCTGTACAGAATTTTTCACTTACCTCGCACACTAAGAACACTAATGATTCATAAAATCATTTTTATGTTACAATCAGTTTTTATGAGCATTTTTTTGTTTTGTTTTATTTCACAGACGATGTTAAAAATTTTAGCAATGGGAAAGAAGTTTCTGAACCACAAGATTGAGGTAAAAATATGATTTCTGAACTCTATCATTTTCAAATGAATATAATAAAAAAAAAAAAGAAAGAAGACAAACATTTTATTTATAATAGAAATATTCTTGTGTATCAAACTAGTTCTACATTTTAAAATATGATTTTTTTTTTTAGTCTTATCATACATATGCTGTGATTTTTTCCAGGTTTTCGATGCCATTGTTATAACTGTTTCCTGGACTCTTGATATCGTTTTCTGGGAGGGTTTATGGGCACAACCCGAGCAGGAGGCAGCTAATATCATGATTTTTATCCTCCCTTGGAGAGTCATCAGGATTGTCAACAGTAAGTACACAAATTTAACTTTATAATTTTTTTTGCTCACGAGGTATTAACTTTTTACAATTAGAATTGTATTTTCTTGAATAGATGAAATACATGCTACATGTGCTCTATATTAAATATTATCAATTTACAGGTTTTGTAATGGTTATACAAGAAAAAGACCAAGTGCAATTGAAAATCGTTAAACAACAGTATCGGGGTTCCGTTAAGAGAGCCAGTGACATGAAAATGAAAGTAGAGTTATATAGGGTGAGTATTTTTTTTTTTTTTTTTTGAGTCAGTGAAAATGAAAATAGATATATATAGAGAGAAAGAATGTGTGTGTGTGTGTGTGTGTGTGTATAATTGTATTATATCAATGTTGCACTGTTTACACCTCGTAAATTTAAGGTTGACTCAGTGGTCCGGAAAAGAAATGAGTTCATTAAGGCCGTCAGAATGACATGACTAGCATTGCCAGCGGACATGACGTACATTAAATACAGTTAAAAAGCTTAAAATGTAAGGCGTCGTCTAGACAGTTTAAAAAGAAAATACTATTTTAATTAGTTTCAAAAGATCAATTTTTTTTCCTTTTTTCATCTTGTTCCTTTGCCGTTTTTTTGGACTCGATTAAAGATTAAAATATTAGTTGCATTTTATAATGCGTACTTGATTTTTAATGATTTCAGCTCAATATTTCATTTCTGTGAATCTATTCGTCGACAGCATTCTGATTGCAAAATAGCATTCTTATCAAAGTCTTTCCCACAAACTTCACTCAGAATGTATACAAATGATACATATTTGTTTCCGATATATGACACGAGGTTGCTCTTGTCTTCAAACGTCAAAATTTGCATGTAGACATGGAATAATTAATGCGTAAAAATGTCTTTTTTCCCTTACTCTCCAGATATTATAGGACTTATTTGAATAAATTACCTGTATAGACATAGAGATTCTCACCTGTAAACGTATCAAAAGATGGACAAAAACTCTCGTTTGTTTCAGAACGATGGTTAGAAGGGTCATTACTCATATATTTTTGCCGTTGATCACAGACCGCCGTCAATCATTCGTTTCCCGTGCTTTTCCCCCAACTGTTTTTGTCCTGTGTGCAAAAACATTCTTGCATTCCACAAACAGACAATGCACTTTTGATTAAAGAAATGACAATATTTGTGAGTAAAATTAATTTGATCCAACTAGAAACAATGATTCGATATTAAGGACATTTTTTTTTAATTTTCGATATAGATTGAGTTGCGTCATCTACAGAGTTTGTGCCGTAGACGAGGCGCAACGGAAAAAGAAATCCAAAGTTGTGCCCCAGAAGGTACACGTATATAATAAAATGTCTTACAATAGTATATAACACAAAATTTTTAAATAATCAAATACTGTGGTACCTTATATTTCTTTCAGTAAAAAAAAACCAGAATGTTAATGCATAATAAGAAACGTCTATTTATTTCCTTTTTTACAAAAGCAAATACAAATCGGGATAAATGACAGAAATGAAGGAATGCCTTAAATCATTTTCCAGATTTATATAGATCTTTTAGTCGAGAAAAAGAGCTTATTGTGAACTCATGCATTTTAGGGAAGAGGAGAAGAAGTAGTTTATTACCGGTGTTAACAAGACTGGCCTCAGTGGGTCTCCTTGGCTCAGTAAGCAGTAGTGCGGATCTCACCAAGGAGGCAGCATCTAACGACACCTCTGACGAGGAGGACTCTGCTGTCGAAATCACCAGCCGTCCAAATAGTAACTATAGCAATTACAGCAGTGACTGTCTAAGTCTGGCTAGGACTGTGTCGACCGGGAGCAGCGTGTCTGCCTTCCCTGCTAGCACCAGCATGGAAAATCTAGTACATGATAATCTCGCCTTTGTTGATGAAAAGCCTCCAAACTATAAGGAGGTCTCTGAGGATACAAAGAGCGAAGATGTAAGAAACACATTTCTGTTAGAATTTATGGTCTAAAAGTAGTATTTTATTATGAAAACCACGATGATATATATATTCAGATATATTTATATTTATCAAGCCATGACCCAGGGCTTTATATAATTTTATTAATATAACCTTATTCAACTCGTATAAAATATTTAGGTACATTCTAACATTCGCCATTATTGTAAATCCATTTCATGGAAAAAGGTTAACTTCTTTTCAATTAGCTTCACACATTTTCAAATTTATGCACATATAATTATACTCTCACAATATCATCATAAACTTATAGATGCATTTTCATACATTCATTTCATCTTTCAGGACTTTCATACCAAGCTGTGATTCACATATATATCTGAGGACTTTTGTTGTTAAACTAGTGTTCAAATGAAGGAACACTCGCCTCTCGCTCCCGCTGTCGGTGTCCTGCATACACGACAACTGCCACTGAGGGCAACATGTAATGTGATATATACCTGTACCTCCATGTATGTAGGCTGAGGGAGGAGCTATTCCAGTATTGTGCTGTTTTGTTACTCTACTTTATGGTCACTTCTGAATTTGCCATCTGAGATTGATTGGCAAAATTTAAAACATCGAATCTACGCAACAAAGATAGCCAAATCTTGTGCTCGGAGTTGGTTTAAATAAATTGTAGGCTTTTTTATGAGAATGGAATTAACAGTATTACTTTTTTGATTTTGTTTTCATTGGTTTGATTTGATTTTTATGCAATAGAGAATTTTGAGGTTGATGTAACAGATGGAGTAAAAATTTGAAAATTTGAAAGCATGGATTTTAATTTCGTTTGTTAGGATTTTTTGGGGAATGTTTACGAAAGGACCTGAATATGATAAGAAAATTTTGTGTTTTGTTGTAATCTAATCGACGTCAAGCTGTGATAATCTCTTACTGAACTAGATTCAGTTTTATTTTGTTTTTTACCCGTGATGCACTATTGACTTTTGGAGAACATTATTTGTCACATTGTCAAGAGAGGTGTTCGAATGGTTTCATTATCCTCCAGTGCACTGTAAATAAACTAATCACTGTCTCATTCTGTTTAATACCATAAACTTGCAATTCATCATATTTTCTCTTTTATCACTTTGCTTAGAGCTCTTTCTTTGTTTTAAGGTATTTTCAATTTTAATTGAAAATTCGTTTTGAACAAAAAGAAATTCCTTTTTTTTCTTATTAAAAATATACTGAGTGTTATTGTATTCACAGAAAAAATGTTAAATTCATTATTTCGTGATGTTTTCTGTTTGTTTTCAAAAACAGTGCTATCATACCGTGTGAGAGATTTTAAATGCATTGTAACGGAGAGTTATTTCATCATTGATTTCATTTTTATAATTTTGTGTTGAAAAATATTTATATTCAGACTCTGAATAAAAGTCAAACTTTGTAAAACTAAGCAATGTTTGTTGTTATATTTAACGAATTCTCCTTCTCTTTGAGGTAATTAATAATCTTTGTAGGAACGATAAAAATCCTTGTCTATCCCCGGGCCATATAGGCTTAAATTTGCTTGGTTCGGGAAGATTTTGAACACTATAGTGATGAATTATATGCAACAAGATAACAACGAGGCAAATAGTGTGCAGGTTGTAAATTACTAGGCATAGTCGTGCGTATTCGCCAGGGTAAAAAACAAAACTTTTATGAAGATACTTACAATACTAATGGACGACCATTATCAAATATTTTTTTCCCTACAATTTATGTGTGACGTTACAAGTATCCCTAGCTCAATAAAACAATACGATTCCTCAGATAAATAAATTCCAGGACAGGTTAAATACTATTTTATGAACGGATCAGCAGGTCGGTGTTGATTTAAGAACGACGGGCTCAATTATCATGCAGATGTTAAGACAATCAAGGGAATAGTAGTGATCCTTGCGATATACCTGTGATTGATGTTTTTCCATAACAAAACGAAGCATCATATAGTTGTACAAGATCAATAGGTCTTCTAACGAGGTTCAAAGGTGAAAATAATTGTTAATTTGGATGTTGTTTTTTTTCTTTATAAATACTAATATTTGAACATGCTAAAAGATTGAGATAGCTTATTTTTATGCAAACAAGGAAACCACTCTAACGATTTTGTTTAAAATCTTTGTCAAGAAGAATAAATAATATAAACTATAGTCCGAACTTTTTTGCACTTCAATAGTATTTTATCATCTAATACTATGATATGTTCATTTATAGTTTATTTTAATTTGATAATTTATTTACATAACTTGTCAGTCGTTTCAAGCACTTAATAACATTATATAGACATTCATTACAGTAAAAAGAATTAATTTCACAACTGTCTTCAACCCAGACAAAAGTATAATCAGCCTTATTATAAATGTATTTATACAAGTTCTTATTTCCTGCTTGCCTTTGATTGGTCACACAATTTACAACTTTGACATCAAGAAAAAAAACGTAATACAGAAACACTAATCTGCTGCAAGGAATAAAAAGATTTAACACTCGTGAGATGCATTCAGTGACCGGTTATTTTTAGAATTTAATTAATATTCATGAATCATGACAAATTTCCTAAATTTATTTTAAGTCAAGAAAGAAAGAAAGAAGATATCGAGTGATAAATATTTGAAATTGTTACTTTATCTATGTGTTTGTATTAAGTACTTTCATATTGCAGTTTACATCGTCAAAATATAAACACTTTTTAAACACAAACGATAGGTATGAATTTATACAGAAACCTCACGAACTGGTCTTCTTTATTTCTAGAGAAACAATAAAGCAGCATGCATATTTTCTGAAAGTTGGAACAATTATTCTTGGAATAATTAATATGTAAGTGTCAGAAGCCCTTAACAGTGATTTGTCACGTGATATTCAGGAGAAAAGAAAGATGAGTACATCGATGTTTTCTACCGCCCGACAATAAAAGAAGAATATTATCAGACGTGAACGCCTCCTAATGATATACTGCTTGTACAAGAAAAAGAAATCGTTTTATGGAAATTAAAACACTCTCCCTAAGCTGAATTTCATTCATAAAATTTAACCCAGATTTTTTTTTTATTAATTTAAAGTTGCAAAGAACCACAACCCCCGGGTGTTCTTTCAGTGTCTTTTTAAAATGTAGATTTTTTTCATTCCTTCCTTTTAGTTTTCTATCCCTAGATAATGAAGCATAACAATAAAGGATGTTAATGTGATTATCGGTACATATACAAAAGTTCGACAAAAAATCAGCAAGATTTTGAAAGTAAATTCTTGAGGTAGAATGTTTCTCTCCCTCTTTCTTCTTTTCCTCTCTCTCTCTCTCTCTAGGTCATTAAATACACATTAATTACATCTTTTCCGAAAAAAAATTATAGAGTACGGAGGGTCAATATTTGAATGCTTGAGTATATAAATATAATGTAGGTTCCTCAGTCTTTGACAGAATGCAAAAAGTCACGCTGTGTTCTGGTACTAAGTGCATTGCAAATTCTAGGCAAAGGTAAAAGTATCACTCTTATCATTCCTTCGTCAGAATACTATGTGTCGTATTAATTCCTATACAATTTAACTGCAGAACTGTAGCTCTCTGGTTCAGAAAATTTGGACAGATAAACTCTGGTTTATCTGTCCGAATTTTCTCAACCAGAGAGCTACAGTTCTTCAGCTATATACAACTATAAACAAGTATTCTTTTTAAAAAACACGATCGGATAAATCTTATATGTATATCTATATATGCATGTATTCATCTTCAACTCTTTAGCCAAAAAAATAGCACAGAACTGTGCACAAAAGTAAGAAACCATATGAATGAACCCGATTCCCCCCCCCCCCCCTCACCAACCCTACAAAAAAATAAATAAAAAAATTACACACCCACGTATTTTTCCCCAAATCAAAATATGAAAATAAGAGCTACTTTCTCTTCAGATTAAAAAAAAAACAACAAATAATTTTTTAAAGGAAATGATCCGGAAGTGTAATATTCAGATGTCAAACTCCTGGCGTAAGTAATGGCGCAGGCTGTACAAAACAGTCAACAACCTCATAAACGAACTAATGTTTCCCTTACATCTAAAGGTTTTTGAGTTTTACTCTAATATAAATGATTGAACCGAAAAAGAAACGATAGACTTCCATTTTGGAAGTGAGCGAAATTCTTCAGCTCATTGGGGAAAAATACATGTAAGTTAATGCACCATGTAACTGCACTGTTTGGTTCTCAAAGTAATTTTATTACGAAAATATACATGATGTGGCATGATGAATTACATAAAGCTGTCAGTGCATAGTAAACAAAGTAGTCCATCGAGTGATGTGTGCGCATATGGTTATAAAAATTAAGAATAAGCATGCATAAAAAAACTTCACAAAGTCAGGGATGTTGTCGCAGGAACCCTGAAAAATTTCATTTGATATTCTACGGACTGACTGCAGCGAATTCTTTCGGAGGAAATACAAATCTGCTCTCAACCAAACACATTAACCCTTTCGGTGACAAACACAAATGTATTGGGGTGTCAACTGCTTTCTGTTTACGTTTTATCAACTGACAAAAGACCAGATCTGATTGGTGCTTCTCAATAAGAAGAAAGCAAGTAGAATATCAAATGAAGTTTGTCAGGGGTCCAACGGCAAAGCTTTGAAAACTTGTGCACCTTTCAAAATTATGTATTGGAATTTTTAGTACAATATCAAAATTTAATAGTATATAAATATACAAGAATCTGCTTGTAAGAACAGGTCTTGAACCATAAAAAAATATCATTACCAACCCCCTCCCTCCAATTCAACTGCTAGCTTGTAACGAAATGCAGTTTCACTACATTCTATATTGACCAAATTGATGACAGGCGTCATTCAACATAGCTATTGTAAAACTCTCAGTGCAACAAAGTCTCCTTCTTCAACTGCAGAAGAGAAAGTTACCAAAGAAATATACATCGGCTGCACAGGTCAGTACAGTGCATAAAACATAAATACACGTGCACTGCAATAAAATGATAACAAAGGTAAACAAAGGTAATGTAAGATAACCAACAGGTGACGTCCATTCCACCCAGGTACCCGAGACAAGAAACCAGTCAGGTGTAACGAATGCGAAGGGTATACCCTAGTACTGATATCGAAGATAGGAAAACTAATATGGCATATGCCTATTTACGAGTCGTGTTCAGGTTTAATGTTTGAATATGAGCGAAAATATCAAATAATTGCATTTTCAATCATTTTAGAGCTCGATCTTATGCGAGACAAACATAACCCACACATTTCAAAATCAGGAGCACGTTAATTGACAACTTCAAAAGACATGAAAAAAAGAAAATTCCGTCAGTTTAAATTTTCTAAAAATTGGAAGTTTGTTTGTTTGTTTGTATGTTGTTTAACGTCCCTCTTGAGAATTTTTCACTCATATGGAGACGCCACCACTTGCCGGTGGAGAGCTGCAAATTTTGTCCTATGCTCGGCACTTACGGCCATTGGGCAGTGAGGGATCTTTATCGTGCCAGCACCTACTGTGACACGGGACCTCGGTTTATACGGTCTCATCCGAAGGACCGGTCTCCACGTCCCACAGTGGGATTCGAACCCGCGACGTAAGGATCAACTCCTTACTTCGCGACTCTAGAGCGAACGCTCTAACCACTGCGCCAAAAATTGGAAGTAAAAAAGTTCTGTGTAAAAAAAAAGAAAAAAAATGAAACTATCCTGATGAAGTAGTTATTAACCTGATTGGTAACCAAAGTAACTGACATGTAACCCTCCGAAATAGATTCCCATTCTTTGTGGGCGTCATCCAATGATTCTCTCTAACCATCAGAATCGTCAGCGTTTCATTATTCAAAGAAATTGTTCCTACGATCCACTTTGTTTTATGGCAATTCTATTGCCACCAAAATTTGAAATGTTCAGAATAATTCAAGTTTTTGAAAATATTTTTATTTTTTTTTTACGTTCGGATCTTTCCTTGCGACCATTGTAATTTCTCTTTGGATCACGAGAGTGACGGTGGAATTTGTAGCCTAATTTCACACCGTCTCTCTTTTTTTCAAGCTTGGACAGATGGACAGACCACTTCTACTCTTTCTGACCCAGTCACAAGGACAGATATATCAAAATAGTGGCCTGCAGCTTATTAAAGAGGATTTTGAACCTATTCAGATATAAATATATAAGGGAAAAAACGAAAATGTCAACGCTAACTTTAATGTCAATGACTTAAAAACAGACCAGAATGTCTTATGGCACAAAGTGCCCATCTCTGAACCTTGAGCGGATTACAGGGTGTTCCTATTGGATGTGTCGGTCGTGTCATTAGCCATTAATTTGTTAGATACTGTTTTCCTTATGCATTTCAACAACCTTTTTAAGCACTTTGGGTAATTCATTCTATACACCTGCGATTTATCAGAAACAAGCATTCTGAGAGTATTG